GGGGTTAATTCAGGGTGGTCTGGGGGTGACTTTGAGCCACCTCATCCTGCAACGTTTTCTTCTCCTGCTGCCCCAACCCTGGAAAATCAGAAATTATTTAGGATTGGTTATTAATTTATGATTAATTAGCTACCATTAATTAACTAATTAGCCCCCCCAGCTGCTCTCAGCGGTCACGTGGCATCAGGGACCCTCAGCCATATGCTTGTCTTTGTCACTCGTCACTGAACAGCCGAACAAAGGGGGAATACACCCCAAAATTTGCACCCAGGGGGAGATTTTGGAGCCTTCCTTGGTCTCCCCAGACATAAGACAGAAAACTTAAGCTGAAAATCTTAAAAATAAAGACATAAAAAGGGTGCTCACCTCGACAGGGGCTGTGGGGACCCCCAGTGACGGTTCCACGGCTTAAAAATGAGAGGAAAAAATGGTTAAAATGGTGATTGAGGAACAAAACGACCCCACTAAACCAACCCAGAGCACAAACTTTGAGTCTCTCATCCCTCCGATGTGGGTCTAAACCTTCCCACGTGGGTTGAACTCCTGTTCCAAGAGGATCTAAACCCTCCCTATGGAGATTTAAACCCCCTCATGAGGGTTTTCCACCCTCTCAATGCGGTTTTAACCCCCTTAAAGGCTTTAAACCCCTCCCCACCAGGGTTTAATCCACAATAGGGGAGGTCTGAAGCGCCCACCCGTAATTTAAAGGAGGGTCTCACCCCCTCTTGATGGTTTAAATCCCCCCCACTCGTGTCAGTGCCACTCAGAGCGTGTTCAGGAGCTTCTCCACCAGCCCATCAGCAAGAGAGAGTTCAGTGGATCATCCCCGCAGCACTGCGGCTGTTTTTAACTAAATCTACCTTTTTACACCCTAAAAACTGGGTTTAAGGCTCACCTCTCGCACAGATGCCATTCTGCAGCCTAAAAAGCTGAAAATAGAACAAAAAGAGGCGTCATTAACAGGAATAAAGTAAATACCAAGCAGCCAACCCGCAGCCCGGGGCAGGACGAGCCCTCAGAGAACTCAAAACTCTTCACCGCGTGGTCAGCACAGGTCTGTGAGAGACTCATCCCCGAGCAGCCCCCGCGGCCCGGCAGCGGCCATCACGCGCGCGAGCGCGCGAGGAAGCCCTGGAAAGGACATCTCGGGAGCGGCCGCCCCTCCACGGGATGGAGTCCATTATCGGAGCGCTGTATAAATGGGCGGCGCCCTGAGGCCGGACGGCGGCTGCCGAGGGCGCTCCGTCGCCGGCCCGGGGATGGGGCGAAGGCGGCTGCCGAAGGCCTCGCGCAGCCCGCTGCCAGCGAAGCCTGCAGAGGCGCCCTCAGGGAGCGAAGGCGCACCGACCTCAAGACTCCACGCTCGCGGCGCGGTCGGCCTCACAGACGAAAAATGGCGCCGGTTGTCCCGCATCACGTAGCGCTAAAAATAGAGACGGCGGGGCATGCTGGAGGGGGGCGGGGCTTGAGGCGGGAAAACAGGGCGGGGCAACTGGAAAAAAGGGCGGAAACGGGGGCGTGACGGGGCCGCCGGCCCTGGCGGGTGAGGGCGGGAAAGCGGCGGTGGGGGGGGGTTTTGTTTGGTTGGGGGTTTTTTGGGAGGTTTTGGGGGTCCAGGGGGGTTTTGAGGGAATTTCGGGGGGTCAATGGGAGGTCTGGGCATTGAGGCCCCTTTTCTTGCCGAAGGCAGGCACAACGTTGAAGAAGGGCAGGTTGTGCTGCACGCGCAAAGAACCCCAAAAAAACCTCCAAAAAAACCCCTAAAGAGACAAAAAACCCAGCAAAATGAAGAGAATCAACCCCGAATTTGCTTTATTGGGTTCAGGAGTTGGTGTTGTGGCCCTTTTTTTTGCCAGAGAGGGGCACACTGTTAACCAAGTGCCAGCTGTGCTGCGTGTGCCAAAAAAACCCAACTCCCCCAAAAAACGCCCCAGAAAAGAAAAAAATAGACCCAAAACCACCCAAATGAGAGGAATCGGCCCCAAAATGGCTTTATTTTGCTCAGGAGTTGGCGTTGGGGCCCTTCTTCTTGCCGAAGGTGGGCACGACGTTGACAAAGCGCCGTTTGTGCTGCGTGTGTCAAAACACCCAAAAAAACCCCAAACCCCCCAAAAATAAAGACCCAAAACCACCCAATTGAGGGGAATCAGCCCCAAAATCACTTTATTTGGCTCAGGAGTTGGCGTTGGGGCCCTTCTTCTTGCCGAAGGTGGGCACGACGTTGACGAAGCGCCGGTTGTACTGCATGCGCCGCTTGGCACGGCCCGTCTTCTTCTTCTTCTTCTCCTGCTTGGCCACCTGCCCAAAAACAGTGGGGGGGCTAAAGGGGCACTGGGGACACTGGTGGGCACTGGGATGGGCATGGGATGGACATTGGTGGGTACTGGTGGGCACTGAGGGTATGGGGGGCACTGGGATGGGCACGGGATGGACACTGGGACGAGCACTGGGATGGACACTGGTGGGCACACAGGATATGGGGGTCACTGGTGGGCACTGGGATGGACATCGGTGGGTACTGGTGGGCACTGAGGGTATGGGGGGCATTGGGATGGGCATGGGATGGACATTGGGATGAGCACTGGGATGGGCACCAGGAGAGCACTGGGGTCACTGGTGGGCACTGGGATGGGCACAGGGAGGCACACTGGGAGTGTGGGGGTCACTGGAGAGCATTGGGGTCACTGGTGGGCACTGGGAGGGGCACAGAGAGGGACACTGGAGGTGTGGGGGTCACTGGTGGGCACTGGGAGACACTGGTGGGCACTGGGGTGGGCACAGGGAGGGACACTGGGAGCGTAGGGGGTCACTGGGGGCACTGGACGAGCGCGCAGGGTGGAGCTCTGAGACAGGCAGTCAGGGGGTTCACGCAACTTGGCACCAGGAGAGGGGGTCCTGAGGGGTCGTCGCCAAAACGCGGCGCCGGGGGGGGCCGCCAAAAGGAGGGGGGGTCTCACCTTGGGGGTCTGCCCCTCACTTTGGCCAGCCGCGGCCAGGGAGCCGTGGACCTTCGCGCTGGGGGGGGGAACAGAAGCAAATTAAGGGGTGGGGGGGTCTGTTGGGTATAATTAAGGGTCCGGACAGTTAATTAGGGGGGGGCAGCTAATTACCGGCCCGCAGCAGTGCGGGCGTGGAAGTCGCAGGGTGGCCAATTCGGGGGTAGGGGGCTCTGGCCCGCAGCACCGTCTCATCGTCCAGGGGGGTCCCACCAAAGAGCAGCACCTGGTCCTGGGGGGGGACCCCCGACAGCTCGGCCACCTTCTCCTGGGGGGGGCAAACGGGGGGGTCAGCACCCCAAAAATGGGGGGCAGCACCCAAAAAACGGGGGGAACACCCAAAAAATGGGGGGGAGCACCCCGGAAATTGGGGGGTCAACACCCTGAAAATTGGGGGGTGCCACCCCAGAAATTGGGGTGTGTCAGCACTCCAAAAACTGGGGGGGCAGCCACCCTGAAATTCGGGGGCAGTACCCCAAAAACTGAGGTGGCAGCACATCGGAAATGGGGGGGTGTCAGCACTCCAAAAAATGGGGGGCAGCAGCCTAAAAATTGGAGGCTCAGCACCCCAAAAACTGGGGGGGCAGCACCCCAAAAATTGGGGGGGCAACACCTCAAAGTTGGGGGATCAACACCCTGAAAATTGGGGGGCACCCCCTGAAAATTGGGGGGCAGCACCCCAAAATTGGGGTGTGTCAGCACTCCAAAAACTGGGGGGCAGCAGCCTAAAAACTGGAGGCTCAGCAGCCCAAAACCTGGGGGATCAGCACCCCAAAAATTGGGGGAGCAACACCCCAAAAAATAGAGAAAACACCTCAAAAACTGGGGAATCGGCACCCCAAAAATTGAGAGAGCAACACCCCAATATTGGGGGATCAGCACCCTGAAAACTGCGGGGGCAGCACCCCAAAAACGGGGGGCAACACTCTAAAAATTGGGGGGCAGCACCCCAAAAACTGGGGGGAGGGTTTAGGGGGGGATCCCCCAAATTTGGGGGGGCTCACCTTGATCTGGGCGAGGGTCTCGGAGCCGGAGACCTCGAGGGTCAGGAGGGTCTGGGCACGGACAAAGAGCTGCATGGTGGG